CATTCCTGTGGAGAAATGTTGCCCTCAGCATGTTGAGATTAGGTGGTGTCCTTTATAACGTGTCTTACCTAGCTTAACTTCATTTATTCTTGTTATTTCTGAACATCTATAATCTTTTCAAAAACCTTCTGAACTCCTTAATACATCTTGCCTTGTTGCAGAATGATGCAAAGGTTTCACCTTTGTGATGCAATGTCATAATTTTTTAAGAGATGCACAAACTGATTTAATTTCATTATTTCTTATTCAAGGCTGAATTTCTGCATCTCGGGAATTCCAAGTGTTTATTCATGTGTGTTCAGAATTCTTCTGTCAAATATTTTTTCAAAAGCAAAAGCTATGACATCTGACAATGGTATTTAAAGTAGTAATTTGATAAACGATGAGAGACTCTATCTTAGTTTTTGGCTTGCTTTTGAGTAGTCTAATGTCTGCTGAATTATTATAGGCAACAAATATATAGATTATTACATTTCCATCCCCTTCTTGTTTGGGGGAAAACCTATATTGGATAACAAATCAGGAAGGATTGATTACAAAGCAATAAATCAATCACAAAGCTCTAATGCTGTCAGGTTTAATTCTCCCTTATATTGACATTGATGGATAGTGTTCAGTTAGAGGCTCTCCCCATCACTTATTTTTATGGTATATAGGGAATGCTTTAAAATGTTTCAATGCAAGTTTTAATCCGTGGTTTTTATAGTCAGAGCACATTTCAGGAGGTAATGTCTGCATCAGGCAAGTGCTGATAAAGCTGGTGAGCCCCTGTTTTAGTTACAAACTGCTGGCAACTGGTACAGCAGCAGATTTTTCTCAGTTCAAAATGTTTGCATCTCCCTTAGCTACCCAGTCAGGCATTTATAGTGAGATGGGGTGCTTCTGGGGCTGTGCTTCTTAGCATTTGACCTCTCTGCTTCCCTTCCTCCAGGGGGCTGACAGCACAGCCCTGGGGTGAAGGGCTGTGGTAGCCCATCATACCTTCTACAAGTATTTATTGTGTTTAGAAGATGGGGAGATGAGGTGCTGAGAGACATGGTTTAGTAGTGGACAGGTTGTGGTTGGACTCAATGATCTTGAAGGTCTTTTCCAACCAAATGATTCTATGAAAAGGAACAGTGTAGGGGAACATAGACACATCTATCCCTGCAAACAAAATTAGAGACAAGTGAAGATCAGCATTAGATCTCTGTATGAGCTGACGTTGCCTTTTCTCAATCTGGGTTGTCCTAAGGAGACACCCACAGCAAATAGCTAAGAAAGCAGTGCTCAGGGAAAAGGAACATCAAAAAGACCTTGTCTGTTATTAAAAGGGTTGGTCAGCTACTGCCTGCCCTGGAGCAAAACTGGGGAGCAAAATGGTAAACACAGCCCAAACATCCGTCCCTGGACTCCGCGAGGACTGCAGGAGGGTGGCACCGGCTTTTCATCTCCAGGCTGGCCACAGCTGAGGCCATCCTGGCTTTCAGAGTGCTTCAAGGCACTGAGGGGGTGGGATGGGGGTCTGCAGTTCTGAGACCTCTTGTACCACTGTAAAATAGCCAAACGTTGAAAATGGGACTGTGTTTCATTTCTGTTATTGAAGAGTCACGCTTGTGTAAGTCATAGCTTTGCCTTTCTTCCTCGCGGTACCCAAGGAACAGCCCATAATGCCGAGCACAGCAGTCAGCAGCTATTGTACCTGATCCTTGGGTTCACATGGTTTACAAATCACTTTTCGTCGTGGTAAGGTTATGAAGGATTAGCGGGTACTTTTTTCTCCCTCAGTGCTCTGTTTTAACTCGATTCCATTAGCATTAATGGGAGCGACACATGTGCATGAAGCAGAGAATAAACTCTTAAGCCCAAGATGTGGATATTAACAGCAAACTGAGAAATGCAATTTCTGAGTCTATCCCATAAAAAGTATAAAAGAACAGAAACTATTCTGAACTGCAAATGAACTGTGTAAAATACTGTATTTTATACTGAAATGCTTGAGTCTCCTTCCCTAAGTAAAACACCAGCAAGTTTTGATGGAAATATGACAATTCCTTATTTTAACTCAGTTTTGCGGTGCACAAAAAGACTAATTTATCAGCTGATGAGTTTTTTGACCTTAAGATATGCTTATATTCTTTTCTACCTCATCTTATGTCATTGAGTAAAAAACCATGAAGGTTGAAAGACATTTTTTCTAACCTTCCTGTGTTCTTCCATTAATATTGCAGGTTCTCTTTTTTTTTTGTTTTAAATTTTCTTTCTCTCTCAGGGACAGATGCTGACAGTGTCAAAGACAGTGCGGGCAAGCATGGGAGGAGGAGGAAAATATCTGTTACACCAGAACCAAGGAGCTTAAAATAAATCTCTGGCAAACAACCAGAGAAGGATGAATAAATATTCATATTATGCATGAGTAGACAGCTTAAAAAATATGAAATTCTGATGGGTGCCCATAGGGCTGTGTATTAACATGCTGTTGTCAGAACTGGTGAACCTCGGTGGTTTTCCGAACTGGTGAGACTGTGGTTTGGGTTTGTTCTGTTGGTTGGTGCTAAATGAGAACTGCTCTGGCCTCTGAGACCTGAAGTCTTGCAAACTTGCATGTATGGTTTGACCTTTAAATTAAAAATCAGGGTTGGATTTGTAAGGATAGAGAAGAATCCCGCAGACAGTGTTCAGATCTATGTAAAACTTGGCATGTGTTTACATGTAGTATATAAGTATTAATTTCCCATTTTTTTTTTCCCCATTTTTCCTGTGCTTGAGGCTAAATGTTCAATTCTTACAACACAGAAAAACTACAGAATTTCTCAGTACCGGGGGATTAAATGACAAATAGTGTAAACAAGCATAGACTGTACAATATGACTTTATTTAATGCAGTGATATAAATATAGCAGCAGCTCTGAAATAGGAAACTTAATTTCAAGATGTTACAATAAAAGCTCTGAATAAGGAAGAGCGAGGAGAAGCTCCTGGTGCTGATGTCCCAGATTGTGCGATGACTAAGACAGAGCCAAATGAAGTTTCTCAGGCAGCATTAGGTATGGAAGAAGCAGCAAAAACAAGCTAATGGCAGGGATGCAGATGACAGTAGCATATCAGCACTGTTTCTTTCCCAGGCTGAGAAAATCCTTGTCGTGCAGCTTGTTTCCCAGCAGACACACTAAATATCTTGATAAGCCTGTGGCCAGCTCTGCTTGTGTGACGTTGGAGATGAATGGATGGTGGCACCCACCGTAAACACATGTGGCTGCTTCTCAAACATCTGCTTTCCTTTTGGCTGTGTTCTGAGCTATAAAGCTATCTATATATATATAAGTATGTATTTATATATGGATTAGATGAGTGGTTGCAGAAGTGAGTGGGGCTGCTGCAGCTTGTGGAACTGGCCACAGAGCAGTGACTGCAGGGGCTGTCCTGTGGTGGAAATGGTCTAGGGTTTCAAAATGGCTTTACACACCGTTTATTATCCAGCTGCCTTTGATAGCAGACCAGGATGATCCAGTCCTTTCCAGTCCCCTTATCTCTATGGTTTAATGGCCAGGAGGAGTATGTGAATGCTTGGTAGAGTCTATGCCTTTCTGCTCTTGTCCGGAAGTACAGCGATTCCAAGCACGTTGTTGCATCTCTGACAAGGGCAAGTTCCGATGACTTTATTTGCCTGTTTCATTATGATGCACCTTTAACATTTTCTGAATGCCATTAGCTTGTCTCGTTTGGACTGCTATGGGAGGGCTCAGGGCAATAAAAGCAAGAGAACTTTTGTTAGCTGGTATCCATAGCACTTTAGCAGAAAAAGATTACAAAGATAATGTCAGTAGGTTATTTTTTCCTCATGCTTGAATAGACTGATAGTCTTGATTTTTGTCCAGCACAGTGATCCAAATTATTTTCTATAAAATTGCATATTTTCCATGCCAAGCCTATTCTTTTGTGTGAATGTTGAATTGGTGTATTGCATTGAAAATTGAAATGATTAAATACTGTAAATTCTGGTCCATTATCGAGTATCTTTTCAGAGAGTTCAAATGTTATTTAAACCTGCAACTTCTATTGTGTTATTCTAGTCCTTTAAAAGTAGCTGGGCTCATAGTTCAGTGCTGTGCTGATCAGCGTGGACACAGCCTTCATGCTCTGTAAAAACAGTGTTGGTGGGATGTGGTGACCTTCCTAGCCCATCTTGCCATCCATGGATGTCTCAGTTTTGACATCACTTGAATAGTATTGAGCTACGTCCTTTGGAAAATGTGTTATGCTTGCCTCATATGCATGGAGCTAGAGTGGATTTACACTACTATGGATTGGTTTAGTAGATAAGGAATCATGTTTTCATCTTCAGCCATTATAAATATTATGCTGCCCATAAAGAACTGAAAATAGTTCAGTTCTCCGGCTCCACAGGTGTGCCCAAGTGGAGAGACACCTCTCTCTAACGACTGACCATCTGTCCACTATTGCATGTTTCAGAAGTTTTGTTTTGAGAGTGGCTCATAATGCATGGTGCAGGCTTTCTTCAGGTCATCTGTGGTTTAATTTCCACATAATACAGTAAGCTGGTGAGTGCT